ACAAGGTCTTGCTGTGTGGTCCAGGCTGGCCTCAAGCTAATGGCAATCCTCCTGCCTGGGCCTCCGGAGTGCTGGGGTTATAGGCACACACCACCGTGCTCACCTACACACTATCATTATGTTCATTTTATCATGCAAATGAAACATTGTCATGGTGTTTGAGAAATTAAAGAAAGGGTTTTCCCGGAAGCTTGATATCTTAACTCTGGTCCCCCAGCTGTGGTGAGGTCAGAAACACACACTCAGTAACCACTTCCTCAAGTCAGCTCCTAAAATGCCTACACACTGATGCCCGAATGACCCACAGCCCCATACCTTTCTGCTGACCTGTCCAAGGACTGGCAGCTTCCCGACAAGGAATTTTCAGCACTGCTCAGGGGGTCCAGCATCTGCAAGGCAAGTCCTACAATCAGACCAGTCCCAGAACAGAGCCCAGCCAGGAAACCCAGGCCCTGTGACCTACTGCAGGCCAGCATATTGTCTCTGCTACTAAAATATTAAAGCGCCTTTTCTCCTCTCATGAAGTAGGGAAAATGGTTAAAGCTACCATTCTCCCCTGCAGTTTGAAGGGCAAGTTTCCAGGAAGGAGAAAAATGCTTGGCTGACACTGCCAGGTGCTCTGCCAGGGCAGTGAGGCAGGGCTGCTTCTCCTGTCAGCACTTTCTTGGTCCGCCAGCGTCGGTGCCTGGCACTGGAAATGACCCTGTGGAGGCTTCCAGGCGGGTCTGTGTGGAACCCCAGGGTTCCTGTTTACACTTGATAATTCTAATTTACAAAGACGAGTACTGCCCCGCTTCACAGATGAGCACTGCAGGCTGAGACATCGGAGAAGACCTGTCTAAAGGTGTAAAACTGGTAATCGCACAACTGGTGTCAGAACAAGAATTCCCAGGTTCCTGCCTCCAGTGCAGAGGCAAAAGGTATGCTATATACATTACAGTATTTCTCTAGCCCTTGGTAACATGCAGTAACCAAAAGCCTTCAAAATAGCTTTTTTCCGGGACCAGGGAGATAGCTCAGCGGCATAAGCACCTGCCTAGCAAGACCAAGATCCTGAGGTCAATCCCAGGTTGGAGGAGGGGATTCCCTAGCGAAGGAGCTTCTCTTCCTTTAGTCTCTACATGGAGGGGTTGCAGCTGGGTCTTAAGTTTCAGAATACAGGCATCCCTCAGGCCCCGTGGGGACTCGCCCTTCAGTCTCTGAGATATCAAGATGCATGCTGAGGTCTCTTAGGTCAGAGGGCGTACTGTCCATGCAGAGCCCCCACATACGTTATATCTAAATTACTTACAATACATAATACGGTATAAATGCTAGGTAGCATTAGTTTAGGGAATGGCAAGGGAAAAAAGCCTGTACATGTTCAGTAAACAATTTTTCCCCAAATATTTTCATTTTATAGGTGGCTGATTACACACACATGGAATCCACAGACAAAGAGGGCTGGCTGTGTTCATTATCTGAGCTCTGATATTAAACATTGTGCAGTTTTATCAGAATTACAAAAATTCACTAACATAAAATTTCACAAAATTAGTTTCCAACTCAAGTATCTTTACTGGGATTCATTCCCACTCACAATTTCAAATACTTCTCAGCACATTGTCATATATGATTTTTAAAAATCTGCCAATCAGGGCAAGTTAACAGCACAGCAAACCGCACATCTTGTTAAGGACTCAGGATTTCCCCACGTGCATGAAACCAATGTGAGAAAGAATTACTTCTAATCCATCAAACACATATTGGGCAAAGCTAGAGCAGGGAACAGAGAAGAGCAAGCGCATGAGTGTAGCAGCTGACGTGATGGCGGAGGAAAGCGCCGAGGCTCAAGAGGCCTCGGGAAACGCCGCTGAGTCCAGTAAATGCTCTTGCAAAAAGTGACCCTTGTTAGGATAGTGCTGCCGAAGTCACAGTGGAAGTCACAGTGGAAGTAAGGGACGTTGCACTGTGCCAGCAAGATTTCTGTTAGAAAAAGCCAAAAAGTAGTATCAATCAAGTTTTGTAAACTTTAGCAAATACATGCAGTTATTACCTAACCCTGATACAAGAAAAAGCAAAGAACTTATGTTAGTTTCACTTTTCAAGAAAGTCCCCATTGAATGTTCTTTTAGGCTAGAGGCTTGTGAAGTGGATTCATCTTCCCTGGCCTGTTCCAGAAGCAATTCTCTTCTGTACCGAGGTGGCGGCCAGGGAAGGATGCTGGCCTCTGCTTCCACCATTCTTGGCCTCTTTCTAAAAGTCCGTCCTCATCAAGAGCCGGATCCAGAGCCAGGCAGGTAAAGTACAATGACTAAGGGGCCGCAGCACAGGGCCGTGGAGAGGGACAGAGCGAGGGCAGGCTCCTCCACCTGGGCCCTGGGATTCACGGCCTAAACCTTTCCAAGTCCTTCGGGGAGAGAACTGAAGGGGCCGTCAGTAAAACGCCCAAAAAAGGACTCTGGAGCTAATGCCACTTCAGGTCGGGTTCCAAATGGGAGTTTATCTGGAAGGCAGGAGTACAGATAAGAGAGTAAAATGTGTCAAGAGCGTCTCAGGGACCGGGGAGATGGCTCAGTAGAATAAGCGCTTGCCTGGCAAGCACCAGGGCCTGAGTTCAATCCCTGATTCCACAAAAAAAAAAAAAAAAAAAACCCAAACAACAACAACAACAACAAAAAAACGCATCTCACAGCATATATAGTTTGAATAATAAATAAGAAATTACAGGAATCAGTAGTTTTGTAAAATCCCCTATGTCATGATGCTGGCTTTTCTTTTTTAATATTTATTTATTTTTATTTATTACATTTATTTATTGTGTGTGTGTGGCCAGCTCAGCCCACCAGGGGGCGGGGCTGGCTGGCATGTGGTGCTGGGGATC